TTCCCCCCCCCCCCCCCCCGTGCCCTCCCAGGGTGTGCACAGCGGTGGGAGCCACTCCCCCTCACACCTTCCTGGACAAGCTATGGCTCTGTCCCCCCACACCCTTCTGGAGAAGCCGTGGCTCCATCCCACACCCCACCTTGTCCTGGCTGGGCAGTGTCTGCCCCAGCCCCACTCCTTCTCTTACCGTGGGAGGTGTTGATCTGCCCCCCCCTTCCCTCCCCCTCTCACTTTCCATCACAACAGACTTACCAGCTAGACACCACTGTATTAGAAATCAGATTGGTATGGGTCAGTATGCCTCCTTAAAAATTGGCTATCGGTATTGACCCCCAAAATCTCTATCAGTGCACCCCTAATTATTATTCAGTATATGGTTCGTGCTTTCATTGTGGTACATTATTCAAACCCTGATCTGATACAGAAGTATTAATATCTTTATGGACTTCTCCATGGCAGTGATCGCTTTTACTTTTTTAAAGCATTCTGTTCAGCTCAAACTTTAATTTAATTACAACTTCTCTGTAATATGAAGAGATATTATCATCTTTTTATAGATGGCAACAGAAGGATGGTTGAACATAAAAAGAAAGCAACAATTCTGAGATACCTAGAACTTGATTTTTCAGATGACTTAGCATTACACAGCATTTTACATGTTAAAAGTTGCTCCTATTGCCTTCAGTCACAACTGTGGGAGGTCAGCACTCCTGCAGGTCAAATTGCAGAATATTAATCAAGGCACCAGAAAATGAAGAGCTCAACATTAGTTACCTGCAAAAGTTTGCTTTAAGCAACTTGCCTAATATCACTGAAGTACTCTGATCACATTAGTGATCAGTGTAACATCAGTGGAACATCACCTCCAAAGCATCAGTCAATTATCGTATTTACTTTAGTCAAAGATGATCCTAATTTTAAGAGCTCCCTCCCCCCAATAATTAGATTCTAAACATGGAAAATTTATAAATTTGTTATAGTTTTCCATGTATAGGATCTAATTATTGGACAGTTGTCTTTAATTCATCCCTCCCACCACTGCAGGGGGCAGGCAGTGGAAAGGCAGGTGGTGTGGGGAGGTCAAGCAACTTGTTCCCTGCTTGTGCCTGCCCCCCCTTCCTCCCACAGTCTCAGGGTCCCCACTCCCTCCAGCCTCTGTTCCCCTCTTCCTCTGCCAGCCTCTGCTCTCTGCCAGCAGGCTCCATTCCCATTCTAACATGGAGCATGGCCCTACCTAGCCCTGTAGCAGTCATGTGGGCTGCACACCATTGCTACAGGGCCAGGCTGGGGCCATGCTTAGTGTCCCAGGCTGCAATGTGCACAGAGCCTGCTGGTACAGAGCAAGCATAAGCAGGGGAGGGAGAGGGGCAGGCATGGGAGTAGAGGCTATGTTGTGGGAGAGAAGAGGCAGCAGGGTGGAGATGGTGGGGGGCAGGCACCAGATGTGGCTATAATTCCAACCCTGGGAAGGGGCTGGAGCCTGAGCCACAGCAGCCTCCAACCCCTCCCCCACCCCCACATATTCTACCAACTTCCTACTCAGTTCTAAGGCTAGGGGCTTTCCCTGCCCATGTTAAATGAGGCAGGGTGGAACCTCATCTTAGAATTGAGTAAATATAGTACCTCAACTGTGGGGCCATCCTTTCTTTGTCTGCATTCTTGTCATTCACTGTACACCTTCAAACTTCTGCAGCATGTGAAGCTTGCATCCTACAGACAACAGTTTTCTTCGCTATGTAATATTGATTCTTCCTTGGAGCAGGAGCCTTCTGTTTGTAGCATGAACACAAACGCAAGATAAATTCACTTGGAACATGCAACCTTTTTTGACATTTTCTAAGTTGAGTGTTTGGCTTTGCAGCCCTAATCATGTTCTTTGCACATGTTTTGCACATGTGTGCATTCGTGCATGTAATTTCCTAAATTATTAAAAAAACCAAAATGGAAAACGCTAGAAATTTTATCATGTGACATTGATGCCCACATAGGTTATTGGCAGGGTTGCAATCTGTGGATGTCACACGTTCCTCTGCCACTTGAGCTAATGCAGTAATGGACCAGAGAAATAGTTTAATGGAGGAGTTTTCTGAACTGAGAGAAGATGATAAAGGAGTGGGGCTAAGGTAGGCTGAGAGTCTGAAAAAAAATAGCAACATTTTAAGTGACTGGAGGTGAGACATTTTGTTTGCTTTTTGTTCAAGGAATCATCAAGGAAAGGCATTCAAAGAAATTAACACACAATGACTTTGTAGAGCCAAAGATTTTTTTAAACCCTTGATAGAGAAGAATGTGATTCTTTATCCATAAAGAACAGCAGCTTTGTCTTGTTTCATGTGGCTACTATGCATGCTGAAGCTTTCTCCCTTTTGAAATGAGTATTCTTCTGCTAAAGTGTAAATACAGAGAGTAGATGCTTACATTGGTAATAATATCTTTATTTGTTCATTGTAGTCTGTTATTCTGCCTGTTCACAATAGTGAAAGCTGGTTGGATGGATGCTTAAAGTCAGTTTTGGAACAAGATTTTCAAGGCACCATGGAACTCTCAGTATTCAATGATGCTAGCAAGGTACATATATTTTATTTTACTTATACAATACTGTCTGACCTATTTCTGATAAGATATTGGGGGGGGTTTAATTCAGTTTGCCACATAAATTAAAATTGATGCCACTGTATCTTTTTCAGGACAATTCTATTAGTATACTTGAAAAGTGGAAGATCAAGTTAGAAGATGTGGGAATACAGGTCATCATTGGTGGTCATGATTCACCTCAACCCCAAGGAGGTTAGTAGTTTACTAGTGATTTTATAGCATGGTTAAATAATTTGAATTAGTAGGCACCATTTGCTCTTAGCTGAAAAATATTTTAATCCATAGGAAAACATTTAATTAAGAATAAGTAAAGGTAGCAACTGAAAGCATTAGTAAAACTGTAATAAGTCAACATTCCTAAGTACTGTGTCCTGGAATTGCTACAAAAAAAGAGTTGTTGTTTTTGGAGGCCTACGTTCAAAGGCACAGCTGAATAAGAGAGGCAATTTGGCCATGTTCTTCAGTTTCAGTGGGAGTTGTTTATGGAGAGCAAAAAAGAGCAACAAAAATGTGTAGAGGTCTGGAAAACATGCCATATGAGGAAAGGTTGGAAGAACTGGGTTTATTTAGTCTAGCAAAAAGAAGACTCTAGTGGGACTTGATAACAGTCTTCAAATACAAAGGTTGTTTTAAAGAGGATGGAGATAAATTGTTGTTTGCTTCCACGTGGGCAGGACATGAAGTAACAGCCTTAAATTACAACAAAGGAGATTAAATAGGTATTGGGAAGAATGTTCTATGAGGGGGGTTAAACATTACAACAAATTACCTCAAGAAATCATGGAGTCTCTGTCCTTTGAAGTTTTCAGTGCAATTTAGGAAAGCATTTGTTTGGAATGGATTAGACAGAGATGATCCTGCCTTGAGTGGAGGTTTGGACCAAGGCCTTCCAAGCCAATTGCCTTGCATGGGAAAGTGTAATTTGGGTTAGTGTTTGTGCTTTATTTGTCAAAAAGATTGTATTTATAATAGTTATAATGTTTCTTGCATTTGCAATTTCATATTGCAGTACTTGGTGTTTATTTCTTAAAGCATCAGCTCTTAGAGACAAGTGATTACATGAGAAGTCCATCATTTATTGATTTTTAAGTAAGTTTAAGACTTCCAGTGATAACCTTACAGATATGTACCTGTGCACCCCAGAGATTCAGAAACCAGAAGACAATAAAAAAGAACAGCAAATTTATTTTTAAAAAAATAATTATTTTTAAACCACCTCAGATCTGTGTCAAGATGATGATTTGGCAGAGGTTTTTACAGCCAGGTACCTTTACTGATGCTAACCTCCTCATTTATCTTGGCTTGGGACCAGCATTGGATTGGTAGAATTACTCATCTACAGCGGAGTTCGAAGCTGGTGGAGAGCCAGAATCAACCCAACAACAGCAACTCTGTTTAGATGGGACAAGGAGGGGAAGATTATGATTATTTTTAAACCAGCTTCATGACATTTTGGGGCCTGACTCAATCTTTTTAAACAATGGAGGCTGGCATTATATCGTTTGTCAAATATCCAGAATACCAAGATGCATTGCTATAATTCTGACAGTTCTTTAATCACTAGAAGTAAATTTAATTTTTACAATACGCAAATAACATGTAAATAGAAACCAAAGGCACAGTATCTTAAATTGTGAAATGGCTGGATTTTTCCTTTTCTACAGCCCTTGTTGCAGAGCATGAAGATGCTTGGTTCATTTTGTTGCTAGTTCCAGAACTGATGATTCTAAATAGGGTTAAATTTGCAATCCAAGTCAAATAGAAAAAAAAATGGCTCTGGTGTAATTGTAATTGGCTGGTGATAGCAGATTCAGATTAAATTAATGATGACAACTACTGTAGAGGTAAGATAAGCTTAGTGAGGTATGAATTGTAAACCTTTTGTGTTGAGTTTTAAACCTTGCTTTCTTTTTTCATAATGTTGAAGGAAAAGTTTTTGAACAGTTGCTTTCACAAGAAGGGGTGGAGGCTTGAAGAGAAACAGAAAAAAATGCATTCTTAATAAAGATCTTCTAAAGCTTATACGTGGATTTGTTTATTAAGGAAGTCTTGCATTGTCAGCTAAGAATTCCATCTCATGTCAGTAACCATGTGTTTTTAGCTTGTAAGGTAAATATTTATAGGACTAGTGTGTGTTCCCTGTTGATCCATGTGTTTAGCTGTCATTAATGTTAACATGAATTAAATGCACGCATTGAAGAGCTAGGGAAGGTTTGTACTCAGTATGTTTTCTTGAACTGAGTCTGTTGTTTCACAGTTCATATTTTCTAGACAATCATGTTTAAAATTTACATCAGACAAAGGAATGTGTTGTTTGAGGCATTTGAAGTCCAGTAACAACAAAGTTTGCCTTTAAGATTAATAGAAATTTTAAAATTATGATGATAAATTTATAATAATAAATTGAAGGATTCAGTGTCTAAGGGCTGGGATCTTGTATTTCTCCTGTGGTTGAAGAAACTGTTATAATTTCCTCAAGAAAGTAAATGCACATTTTAAGAATACAAGAAGACCACACTTATTTACAGTTGTAGCAAGCAATGATTAACCCTATGTTGCAGTACACTGTCAGTATTTTCAAGACACAGCTCTAATATTGGTATTTGCTGAAGATGTTTGTACTACCTAGTGATATTTACAATAGGCTGACAAAGTACAAGACTTTTTATTTATATGTATAGGATCTGCCCTCATAAAGAAGTGCTCATTAGATTAAACTGCTCATTCCACTCAAGGGCATCTTTGGAAAGCTGTAGATAACATCCAACTCCTGTGAAGTTGTAAGAAGTACCCATGATTATTTACATGGGCAAAGAGCAGTGATGCCCTTTTCTGTCTCATTAATGCCATTCTTAACTGTATTTCCTTCTTATTCCATCCTTATGCAGAAGGAATTAAATCCTCACCTCTCTGCATCTAGTACTCTGTACTGCACTTAGTACTGGGTTAGGGGGAAAAAAATCCCTGTATCTCTGTATTGGAATCTTTGATCCCTTTGCATCTAATTATTACCTCATTTGAATAATTATATACTGTGTTCTAAAAGATAACATAAGCATATCACCTGCAGGTATACCACTGAGATGCCTTTTGCTATCAAGTTGAGCACTGGTCTCTGAAATATGCTTCAGATTATCAGTGCTTGCTTTTGGCCTTCCCCTGCCACCTCTCTATTCCCTTCCCTCGTCTGTCTTCTACCCAGTGAAGTTCCAGCGTTTCTTGTGCTATTTCCACACTGGCAGATCACTCCTGTCTTTCTCATCAATCTCAGTTCTCTTCTTTAGTTTGCCTAAAGCATAAGAACAGATAAAGTGGAGGGTTGCTCAGGAGAGCACTCCTATGTGCATGAAAAAGGAGTTGCTTGTATCACATGAGCAAAACAGGGAACAGAATAGTATGCTGGTGAAATGTGTAGTTGCTGTGTAAGCAGCAGGGTTTGGTGTCAGTATGGGTGAATGGAAGACTGGAGACAGAGTACTGACCCCAAACAAAAGTCCTGTAACATGCCTGTCATTTGAGAGGTACAGTTTGGGAATATCATACAATAGTACTTGAAGCCAACTTCTGCTTTCAATGATAAAACAACTGGTTTGATACCACAGAAGCCCATGCTGAATTCCTGCTGAAATGTATTCCTATTAAAAAAGGTGTGATTCTGTTTCTTTTGTGTTTAATTTTTACTTCAAGGTCACTTTCAAATAGTTCTTATGTTGAAGCATGGAAATAAATGAAATGTTGTCTGGGCCCTGAATTCACTTGTGATTAGCAACAGCTTCCCTACTTCTAGATTCTAAAATGTCTTTTGATTCTAAAATATTTGTAAATGTTTCTTTGAGAGTATCTTTTTATCATCATGAGGACTAGAATAGTGGGTTGAACCAGTGTAACTTCCTTGTAAATACTATTAGCATGTCAACGTGTCTTATAAACAATAGATGTTCAGGTGGCTCATGGATCTTGAAACTTAAAAAGATTGGATTATTTTCTTAGTACACAGAATGGAACAATGGCAATACAAACAGGAACAGCAGTCTAGATTTGGACATGTAATATTTATGGATTCTGATATATTATATTTTTGCTAATACTTCCTTTTTGTAGTCACCTTTTCCCATTAAAAATGTGTTTAGGGATTAAACCTTGTTTTAGCTGTAGTGTTTTGAGTTGCCTTGGTAATGCTTATAAATCAGTTTTTAGTTCGTAAGGACATACACAGATGCAGTGTCTTAAAATAAGAGTATTATCATAAATTATATATAAGATTTTTCACCTATGCACTTTAAGTGAAACTAGGGTAAGAACAACTGTCAGCTACAATGGCTATTTTGTGTCAACCCAGACTTAATATCTGCCAAAGTAATTTTTGTTTATAAACAGCAAAGGTTTTCCTGTGTTTAGTTTGATGTGTTGTACTGAACAGAACCTAAGAAAGCGATGTGTTTCTATGTATTCCATTAAATAATATCGAAACACAATATGCTTGGTTTTGAAAACCAGGATTTATGCAGGAGTCAGTTTTAGATCAGTGTTCAAATAAGGATGTCATTTGTTGTCATGGTTGTTACATTTGGGAAGCCACATTCGTTTGAAATCTGTATTATCCTCTTGTTTTCATTGCTTCACTTTGATATGTGTAGCAGTAGTTACAACTGCAAGGAGTATTTCCTTTGAAAGAAGAAGCCCCAATACAGAAACTATGTGGCAGTCAGTCTTCATGTCTTGGACTGTTTACATGGGATTAGGATTCATTTCTGATTCTCTTCTGTCATGTAAAGAAAAAAGGAGGAGAAAAAATCCCCCAAAGAAAGGGTCACTGGCTTTAAAAAATCCTTTTTCTTTCCAAGAGTGTGGAATGTTAATATCTCACTGAGGCTTAAGTTTTTACTGTTGTGGTCATGGTAACAGGCTCCTTTCACCAAGTAAGCAGGCCTTGCAAAACACAGAGACCTGGCACAAACATTTGATTTTCTTCAGTACAGTAATATTAAAGCAGATTCTTTGCTTATGCCAAACACAGGATTCATTGTGGGAAACCATTTTTAATATGTAGCTTCCATAGGAAGTTAAATCTCTTCTTAAACCTCAAAATTAGTGGATATGCTTTTTTACCTTTTTAAATGTTGTTCTCATAAGCAGCTGCTTAGCAAAACTCCAGACCACTTGTGCTTTAGTTGAGAAATCTATTTTAATTTCACAACATTTCTGGCATAATAAATAACTTAATACTTCAAGATTTTCCCTAAAATATTTGATTTGAAAACTGAATCTTAAAACTTTTCTGAAAATTCCTTGTTTTTTAATACTGTGTTCCTCAACTCAGAGTTGTTTTGAGTCCCCTTGCCTTCTTTTTTTGATTAATATTTCCTTGGACTTCACTTATTTTACACTGACAGCTATAGAGATCTCAGGCATTAATAGTGGAAACAGTGAAATGTGGATACAGGCTTAATTACAGCTGATTTTTATAGAGCAGATATTGATTTGGTACAGAGATTACTAGTTCAAGGTCAGCTCCATCCTTTTCTTTTTTTCTCCTTCTCTTAGGAGAGGGCTGTTCAGCATGTCCAGACCTGCTAATTTGCTGTAGCTGTTTCTTACTGAAGTCACTGATGCCAGGAATTGAACTCTAGTTTTGTGAAAGCTAATGAAATTGCCAGCAAGCTTTGTGTTATGAATTACTATTTACATCTATATAGTATTAAAAAATGCAGCCCAGTAATGAACAGCTTTGAGTGCTACTGCTGTACTGTTGGTTGGCCCGAAGTGCTCCTATGAAGCAGTGAGAAAAAGAGAGAAGAATCTGTTCTTTTCCTGAGTTCTTGAATGAATAATGACAAAGGACCTGTCTGTATTAAACTATAACAGAATCAGGGAACCCAGCAGAAAGCACAGTTGTTCTTTGACCTACTTTCAGCAATTTAGGCAGTCTAGAGAGCAGCCTTCATGGTTTAGGCAGAGCCTACATAGCACATATAATGTTAAGTGGCATTCATGTAAGAATTTTTAGGGAAACGTTTGGGGCCCCTATTCCCTGTCATACCTCCTGTGGGAAAAGAGGAGAGGAACCAGGTTGTTCAGTTCGCCCTTGTATACATGTAAGTCATACCAATACAACTGCATTGGTTTAAAATTGCACTCAAGTTAAATCAGTTCAACTCTCATATAGGCAAGGCATTAAACTCTTAACACCTGGAGTCACCATCACATTCTGCCCTTTTGGTGTATGAGGTTTGAAAATTCTCTGAGAAGCATATGGCAAGGATTTAAATGTTCTGTCAATAATCTAGTTTTGTTGTGGCTTTTGCGGCCTGTATGACGAGCACTAACAGCAGACTTCATTGAAGAGTCATGCTGCTATTTTGCTTTATTTTTTTACCTCCTGCCTTCTATCTTTTCAAAGGCTAATGGAATACATGAAAGGAGAGGTAAAGTTGTTTAGACTATTAATTCGATGTGGCAGGTTCTTGATTTCACATCTAATGTTAAAAACTTTTGCTTAGGGTTATTATTGCATGCCTTGCCAGGTTTGTACTTATTTAACATTTATTGCAGCTTTTATAATGATTTAATTAAATTGATGTGAAAAGCTCTATAGGTAACTTTTGGGTTTAGAATATGGTTATTTTGCTTTACTATCAGTTGATTAGCAATAAGATCAAGCTAAACTGAAATAAAAGAACATAAAATGAAAGAAATAAAGCTACACGGGGATTTGCATTGATTTAGCTAAATTCTTGCATGTTTATGGCAGATAAAGCCTTAATAAAGATCTTTATAGACTTGTAAAAGTCTAGGTCTGCTTTTCTACAGCTGAACTGGTGAGATTAAATGCAAAAGATCTATGATATATAAGCATTATAATTTCACTAAACTTAGGTTGGGTTGTGTTGGTTTCCCTGAAATTATGTCAACTGTATGTGCATTACATCTGTTTCTTCTTTTTCTCCGTTCTGCACTGCATGTAACTCTGGAAGAGCCAACATTATATGATTTCCTGACAAGAAAGAGACAGTTTCTCTAAAATAATCTCTGCAGCACTGGAACCTCTTTACTTACCTACAGAATGAACCAAAATGAGCAAACTAGTATGCCGTAGCCTTCTTGTATGTGCTACTGGGGGACCCAGAAGAAGCTGTACCTTAGGAAAGGAGGACATGCCAATCTACAAAATCATCCTCCTTTTGTTAATGTTGTATGATTTGTATTAAAGTAGCAGCTAGAGGTCCCAGTTTAGGATTGTGGCCCTATAAAAATATGAAAGCTAGTAAAAGTTAGTCCCTGGACCAAAGAACTTGTAGTATTGTTTAATTATGAAAGAATAAAAGGATGGGATTGTAGAGGGGGAAATTAGGTAAGTATTATACCATCTTTTTTCACAGATATTAATTATGCAAAGAGTGTATGCTTAACAGAGTTTACAATTGCTTAGTGGTGGTCAACAGATAAAACTGTTGATATGAACAGTTCTTATGATGTTCATGTCTGCCTATTAAGAACTGGACTAAACTTACCATCCTGTTTAATGTAGGTTGTTGTAGGTCGGTGGTTATGAGCTACAACATGGTGATAAATTTTAATCATTATTACTCTGTTTCTAGGTTGAACTGCTGTAGTAGATTGTGGTATTGTTAAGTCCATTACTAACCCTTCTAAGCTGACTCTTTCATGCTTACTCTAATTTAAGACAAGAACGGTAAATGAATCAAACTGCAGTTTAATTTAGCAAGCACGGAGACTCTAATCACCCTTTTGATTCTTTATTGCAGAATCTAGATAAAATACCATGATTCGTTATACTAGTTGGGATATAAATAAGAGTTTTCTTTCTTCAGAGGATAAGATCATCATCGTTTGGGTTAGTAAGAAGTATTCTCCAGGGCATGTTATTGCACATGTCTTTTGTTTTAGTATCTGCCACTGGCTGCTGTTGGAGGTGAGTTACTAGACTAGATGGTACAACAGCCTTTTCCAATGTGGCTATTCTTATGTTTTTAAAGTTCACTGCCCTCATGGGGAGAGTATACATGGGCATAAAGGGTCCAAGTAAAATATGCAGTCAAACTTGCATCTTAAGCACATTATATAAAACTAAATATTTTCCTGCAATCTAGGTCTTCATTTTAAATAAGAAGAATACTAGAAGGAATCTAAATTGCACAGAGTCAAATTCTCAGCTCTCTGCTGTTAGCACCAGAAGATTACAGAGCATCTTCACCAAATCCTGATACAGCCACAAGTCACTTAGAAAGACAATAGGTAGAAATTCTTTTTTTAACTGTTAGAGAGGACCAGGCCATTTTTTTTACTGTGAATCCTAATACGGGTGTGCAAAGCGGCGAACCCAGAAGTACTTCTGGTCCACTTCTGGGTCTGCCGTGGAGCGCTCTGCCCCCACCCCCATGTTTCCATAGCTCAGTGATCGGCTGCAGGGGGACCCCGGGTGCCCCTCCCAGACCCAGGAGTCAACAGTTGCTGAGCGGGGAGGTGTGTGTGCGGGGGGCCCAGTGCGCTCCCCAGCGGACCCAGACATGGACTGGAAGTGCTTCTGGTCCACTTCTGGGTCTGCTGCCCAGTGCTCTGGAGAGTCCCCTGTGCTTCTGTGGGACACTGCATGCGCCCCAGCATTGCAGCACTCATGAGCTGCCTGCTACCTAGAGGTATGTAGAAAAAATATTTAAAGCTGTCTCTATGTTTGAATCTCTGAATCTTTCCGAATCAATTCAGAGGGTTCTGTTTCGACTCAGAGAGATTAAAGAGCCCTCTGATTTGGTTCAGGTTTGGCGATTTGGCTACCAAATTGGGCCAAAACTCTGTCGAATTGAATCGGGGACCGAAGCTTCACACAGCCCTAATTCCTAGTGGATGATGGAACAGTTTTTTGCCCAGGGTAAAAAGAAAAGCAAAATTTGCCATAATGGCAAATTATATTCTAAAACTTGCTGCTATTCCTCATTAAGTTCACATATTTTGATGTTTGACCATTACAGTAGAACTCTTAATGATTTGGACTACAAATCAATGATATTCCCAAGTATTTGTTAAAGTAACTTCTTATAAATTCATAGATTGTAGAGCTGGAAGGGACCTTGGAAGATCATTGGGTCTAGGCCCCTGCACCAAGCAGGAAAGATAACAGGGTCACCTCTGGAGGGAACTTATTCCACAGTCTGGACTCCCTGACTGTGAAGAAGTTTTTCCTAATGTTGAGCCTGAATCGATCTTCCAGGAGTTTGTGGCCATTACTTCTGGTTCTTTCCTCAGGTGCCCTAGTGAACAGTTGCTCACTGAGCTCTTGATGTA